AATCCCTTAGCAAAAGCTTTCATATTACAAATACCCATATGGCCAGAATGAATTATTTCTAATATTTTTGGTCTCAATTTTTTTGGTATTGTTATTCTATGACCCCATAGTAGGATGTTCTTTTCTATGGAGAACTGGTTTGTTCTATTGTAATATGGCAAAATATTGTCATCTACATTGTCAATGGGCCATTTTTCTTGAGATTCGGTGAAATTTTTGTTTTCAGAAACCTGTGGGCCTTCCATGGGGTTTCTGCTGAAATAATCTGCAAGTTGGTTCTCTGAACCTTTTATATATTGAATTTGATAGTTAAACATTGAAAGAAAAGCAGCCCAACGTTGAAGGCGATTTGGTGACATTTGGGGTATTTCTTTGTTTTCACCAAAAAGAGCTATTTGCAATCAGTTCCTAAAATAAATTTAAAACCGCACAAATATTGATATAAGCGTTTGACGGTATAATAAACTGCAAGTGCATCTTTCTCTACTGTAGCCATGGTTCGTTTTTCACAATCAGATAGAGTTCTGGAAACGCAAGTCACGGTTTTTTCTTGACCGTCTTTGATCTGTGATAAAACCCCAGAAATACCCACATTAGAGGCATCACAAGTAACAATTATTGGCAAATCTGGGTCAAAATGCATTAATACGTTATCATATGATATAATCTTCTTTATTTCCCTAAAAGCTGTGTCACATTTAGTTGACCATTGAAATTTTGTATTATTTTTGAGGAGGTTGTCAATTGGATGTAACAAGGTGGATAAATTTGGTATAAATTTAGAATAATAATTGACCATTCCAGCAAACGATCTTACCTCGGATACATTCTTCGGTATTGGTGTTTCTTCAATTGCTTCAATTTTGTCGCTTGTTTTCTTAATGCCTTCTTTGCTAATTTAATGACCTAAATAATTTACGTCTCTCTGAAAGAAATAACATTTTTCTTTTCTCAATGTGAAACCTGCCTCTGCCAACCTTTTGGAGACCAACTCCAAGTTTTTCAGGTGTTTCTCTGTGGTTTCTCCAGTGATGATTAGGTCGTCCAAAAATGAACATACTCCATCAATACCCTGTATGAGCTGGTCCATTAAACGTTGAAAAATTGCTGTGGCCGTTTTAATTCCAAATGGTAATCTCTTGTGGCGAAAAAGCCCCAATTGGGTATTCCAGGTTAAGATTCCTGAGATTTCTTCGTCCACTTCTATCTGGTTGTATGCTGATCTAATATCAATTTTTGAAAAATACTCTCCTCCATTCAACTTGGCAAAAACTTCCTCTATTCTCGGTAATAGATAGATGACCTCTTCTAAGAGTCTATTTGATGCTCTTTTATAGTCACCGCATAATCTAATACTTCCAAATTCTCTCAATACTGGAACTAACGGAGTCGCCCAGTTACTATTTTCCATTCTTTCCAGAATACCCTCTTTAACCATTTCAGGTGCCAAGGGAACAGGTCGGAATTTACAAAAAGTTGGTTTATAGTTTTCTTTCAATTCGACATGAATTCTACCATATTTATATTTACCAAGTTTATCAGAAAAAAGTTCATTATTGCACTGAATAAGTTTGTTTATTTGATCATTTACTGCAATATTATTAGTTAGTTGAATCCTTACCTGGAACGCTTCCAACCAATCACAGCCGAAAAGGTTAGGTCCCCCTCCGCGAGCAACATATATTTTAAGAACTTCAGTTCTGTCTTTATATGTGACTTTAGGCAAGAAGTGGCCCTCAGCCTTCTTCCTTATACTCTTCTGGTACTGTGGCGTCTTGAGTAAGCCTGTAACCCGAAAAATATATCAGAAAATTGTCGAGCAAATATTTCTTGACATTTCCTATCGTTTCAGACTAAAAAAGACGGGGTTACATTATGTTACCCCGCATTACGGGGTAAAATTGGGACACTTTCAATTTAAAAGCTGAATTATCAATTTTTTTTCAATTTCCTATTATTGCTATTTTGTAGCGGAAGGACGGATATACATAGTGTATTTTTTTTAGAGTTTTATGTGGCAAAGAACTTTTTGAGAATTGCAAAAAACCTCAAAATCTGTCACAAATATCTCCGTTTTACGGTAAACGTTTTTGCGAAAAGGTGAATGATCCATGCACTTAATATTAAATAAAGAATTCCCAGCTAAATTTTCATCATTATCTAACATTTAAAAATACATCGTTTTCATAATTATTTTGCCTATTGTTTACAAAATTTTCGGCATCAATATAATTACAGGCATCAGTCTCATTGTTGGATATGAATCTTATTCTGCTAAAATTTTTACAAACCCTTCCGTGATGACCAATTTTTTTACATTTTTGGCACGTTTCTTCCTGAAAATTGAATTTGATTGATGTTGGACGTTTCAAAGTCACGCCCCCTTGATGATTGACGCTTGCGCTTGACAGCCGTAGCGTTTTCCGAAGATCTACTCCGGTTTTGGTTTCCGCCGGTGTTGCCATATCTGTAGTTATTGGTGCTATAGCGGTTCGGTTGGAAACGTTGGTCATCGTCATAATGGCGAAAATTTTGGTTGGAATTTGGCGGGAATTTTGAAGCGTATCTCACCACGTGCTGACCTCTGGTTTCAATTTTCTGAGCCAAGGACACCATTTCTTCCATCGATTTTTCTTCAGTTTCTTCACACAGGCGATCTAAAATCTTAGAATCCGAGAGTCCCGTCACAAATTTGTCCAAAAGAACCCTAGACAAACTATTTCCAAATTTACAGTTCACTGAAAAACTTTTAATTCGTGCATACCAATCGGCCACACTTAAATCACCCTGAGAAAGAGCATAAAACAACCTTCTCTCTCTCCAAACACTGGGTTTTATATTAAATTGTTTTTTAAAAGTTCGCATAGTTCAAGAAATGTTTTTGTTTTAGGTAATTCAGGAAAAGTTAGATCTCTAAGAAGTTTGTAAGTATCAGGGCCAATACTGCTCAATAAAATAGCGGTCTCAATTTTTTCATCACTCATCTGATTGGCTGTGAAGTGTTGCTCCATTCTCTCTGCAAAAATCTCCCAATCATCTGTGTTTGCGCTGAACTCGTAGAATTTTGGCACAGAAACCATTGTGGAATTTATACCGAAAGCCATCTCTCCTTTTTCTTGTTCTGATTTTCCCACGTTTCTTCTTCTCTTCTTTTAACCATATATCCTCGTCGCCATGTAATATATTGAGGTGCAATTAAACGATTGATCAATGATTACTTTAAAATTATTTATTTAACGTTAAGGGAGCAGGGACGGTATAGTCATGTAGCTCATTGCTGGTTGTAATCTTGAATGCCATCGTCCCGTCTCGGTCCTCCGATGCTCAGTCGCCGCACATCCACCACGCTATGCATGGCGATATATTAATAACTATACAGACTATCGCAATCATTATACAGGATGTCACAATCCATCTTCTCACTTTTCATGCTTGCTATTTCTGCTTCACATTCCTCCAAAAAATGCGATGGTATTTTATCACTGCTATTGATTGAATTAAAATTTTTGCATTTACATATAAAGGACCCCGCACACCTTATGGGATTTTGGCGATCGGTCGTTTTTTTTCAAATTTTGATATGTTGTAGAGGATTTATTTCTTAACAACCTTTAAATAGGACGAAATCTTGTAGGTATTACGGTCTTTGAGATATGAGCATTGAAAGATGAACTTTTTTGCGACTTTTTGTGTGGAGAGTATACGAAATACTGGTGCTATTGGTGTTTATCGGTCAAAATATTGACAGGTTCACATATTTAACGTCAGTAACAAATTAATGTCAACATAGGCTAAGGCCGGGACCACACTGGGGTCAATGTTGGCGCCAGTGAGGTCCTGGCCTTAGCCCATGTTGACATTTGTTAGTGACGTAAAATATGTAAACCTGTCAATATTTTGACTGATAAACACCAGTATTTCGTATACTCTCCACACAAAAAGTCGCAAAAAAGTTCAACTTTCAACGCTCATATCTCAAAGACCGTAATACCTACAAGATTTCGTCCCATTTAAAGGTTGTTAAGAAATAAATCCTCTACAACATATCAAAATTTGAAAAAAATCGACCGATCGCCAAAATCCCATATAAGGGTCCTTTGCGATTTTTCATTTCACTATGTGCCTTTGAAGAACTTTGGCAGTTTCATCAGAATCACTAGCTTCATGCATTATTTCAAATCGTGGATAGAAAATATGTCTTCCTCCTCTACGAGAAGCAAAATCGTGAGGGGTAAAATTATTTCTACATGTAATATCAATGTCAGAGCCAAACTCCAGAGCAATTGTAGCAAGTTCTACTTTTCCCTCTCGAGAAGCGATGTGAAGTGCAGTGAATCCATTTTTGTCCCTAACATTTACATTGGCTTCTTATTCAAAAGCATTGTGGTTATTTTTCGATTTCCCTTCTGAGCTGAGATATGAAGTGCTGTTCTGCCATATTCATCTCTAGAGTCAATATCAGTTCCAAATTTTAAAGTAGTCTCAATAATCTCCTGATGACCTTCCAAAAAGAAATGGTGCGTTGTGAAATTGAAATTCAGAATCAAATTTGGCATTGCATTCTAGCAATAGTTTAACCACTCCTGCATGGCCGTTTTGAGCTGCAAGATGCAGTGCAGTGATTCCATTTTTTCCTGCAGCATTTACATTGGCTCCTTTATTCAAAAGTATTATGCTAATTTCTAGATTTCCGTCCTGGGCAGATATATAAAGTGGAGTGAAGCCACTTTTCAGGGACAAGTAAACATTTGCATTGAACTTCAACAACTTTTGCAAGAGAACTTCAACAACTTTTGCATATCATTTTTTAGTGGAAGAAAGAAATGTTGTTTTAACATATTTAGTTTGAACGTCTACATGGGCGCCTTTACTTAGAAGCAGTTTGGCGATTTCTCCCTTAATATTACTATCAGGCTCTTTATTATTGAAAGAAAAGTCTGAAAAATTATCAGAACATAGAGAGGGGAAATAATCTCAGACTCGGAAATAATCATGCTGACCCGAAGCAGTAAAATGCAATGCTGTTCTTCCGTAGTTATCACAAGCATTTATATCAGCATCATGTTGCAGAAGTGCTTCAACGATTTCTTTGTATTCTTTCCTAACAGCAATATACAATAGCTCAGGATCATCTTTAACAATAGCTCCATTAGTTAAAAGTAGCTTGATCATGTTTAAATCAGCATTTTTAGTAGCATAAAATATTGGCGTTTTTCCAGTTTCGTCTTGAGTATTTATTTTAGCTCCGTAGCTAATCAACAATTTAGCTATTTCTTTCTGTTCGTTTTTTGCTGCATTATGTAAAGGTGTTGAACCTTCTTTAGTTGAATTGTGTAACATATTAATCTCAATATCATACTGTAATATGTCTTCAACGACTTTCAAATATCCTTTTTTTTTTATAGCAGCCTATAATAATTCTGGATTATTAGTATGTATAGTAAAACCATATTCTAGGAGAGCCTCAACAATTGGACAGATGTCCATACCCTTTTTCTCTACAGCCGCGCACCGCGATTTCAAGAGAGTTTCTGTTACTTGCATTATAGATATCAGGACAATACTTCAAAACCTCTTCAACAATCAACAAAGAACCTATTTCAACAGCAAGTTGTAGTACGGATCTGTCAGTGTCCTCATTGACAACTTCAACTCCACATTCTAAGAGCATTTTTATAACTCTTTTATGTCCGTTTCAATAGCAACATGAAGTGGGCTTAAATTATCCTTTGTGCTAGTATTAATATCAGCACCCCAATCCAGGAATAATTTCACAGCTTCTACATTATATTTAATAAAATAATTTTTTTTTCTTAATATATAATATAATTTACATCAGCTCCACGTGTTAAAAGTAATTCAGTTATTTCCATTTTCCTATATGCAATCGCAAAGTATAGTGGAGTTTCACCACATTGATTTTTAGCATTAATCTTAGCACCTTCGTTAAGAATCATTTCAACAATTTCAATGTCGCCAATAATAACAGCAAGATGAAGAAGAGTATCAGCAGGGCATATTTCACTATTTCCGCTATTTACTTTAGCACCTTCCGATAAAAGTAGTTTAGCAATAATTGCCGCATGATTTCGCATGAGAGCCTCCACAAGCAGAACATATCCGTTTGCCCATGACGGTGAGTACGACAGCCCAACAGAATCGATTATATGCCTTGATATTTCTAGTCTTCCTTCACGAACTGCAAAAATTAGATCGGAGTGTACTTTCAGCTTCAGCATTTTACCTTCCATTGCTATTTGCCCTGCAAATTAGGTATTATACAATTTTTCTTACATCAAAACAGGGTGACACAATAAGGAATAGGGCAAGGAATAGGGCACAACCTATAATTTTCTCAGTACCTATTCAATACGGGGGGGGGGGGGGGAACTTTTTGAAACCAAATTGCGTTACCGGTCACTTCCGGTTTAACAGGAAGTTCCCATAACTTTTCACGTTCAAGTGTCTACCCGCGGTACTTTTCAACTTTTTCGGCATCAACAATCATTTTAACAAAAAATACGTATCCGGCACAACTTGATCAGTATGCTGGAGAAAACAATGAATTCAAATACATATTGGTTGTGATCTGTTTTTCCAAGTACCTTTGGACGCGTTCCAATAAATTGAAATTTGCACCAGATGTTGCCAACGCTATGGCGGAGATATTCAAAACATCTGGAAGAATTCCGAAGAAAATTATTTCAGATAATGGAAAGGAGTATTACAATGCTCAATTTGTAAGTCTAATGAACAAATATGGAATAATAAATCATTATAGTTCGTTTAGTCCTTTGAAAGCATCGATTGCCGAGAGAGTGATACGAACCATTAAAGAAAAGCTGTTCAAGCAATTTACATTGAATGGGAACCATAAATGGCTGGATTTATTACGGCCTATAACTGATGCCTATAATGATAGCAAACGTGGCACGATACATATGGAGCCGAGTAAAGTGAATAAAAAGAATGAGAAGGCGATACTTGATACTGTCTATGGTCATATTAAAGTTGCCGGTAAGCAAAAGTTCAAGGTTGATCACATTGTTCGCATAAGCAAGTATAATTATGTTTTTCAAAAAGGCTATACCCCAAACTGGACTTCCTAGCTCTTTGAAAGAGTCAAAGTTCATATTACGAATCCAATAACGTACCTGTTGGAAGACTTGCAAGGTCATCCGATAAGCGGTAGATTTTACGAGAGCTACAGAAAACAAAACAGTCAGACGTATTTCTCGTGGAGCAATTGCTACGAAAAAAGGGAAACAAGATGCTTGTAAAGTGGCTAGGCTTCGATAAATCACACAACAGCTGGATTGACATGACTAAAGATGCCATTTAACTCTCGCATGTGATTGGTCTAAAACATTTTCGACGAGCTGGTGGTGCGGGTCGTAAAAGGTATTATAAACCCCAAAATACTACATGTTTGTCTCAGTATTTTTCAGTATAGTCACGGTGTCATCGTGAAATGTCACATACTCCAGTTACATTAGGCCTAAAAAAGCAGCATCTGCTGAAAAAATCCGAGTGAGCCTAAATTTTGTCTACACCTTTATTTTACCTCAAGAAATAATGTCTTAAAAGTCCCCATCAATATCGCGCTTGCGTTTTCAGATATTCAAGGTCAAAAGTCATGAACGTCATTAAGGCTGTGGTCCGAATATAACCAGGGTTGTGGTTTCGCGGTCCAAAAGTAATCAAATTACACTGGTTCCTGGAAAAGTAGTTACTTTTGTACCTCGGTTTCCTGAAATCTGGTTAACCAAATTTCAAAATACCTACCGGTCATCAAATGTCGGTTCTGTTGGTTTTATCTGTAATTTCTGTCAATAATTTTTTATTTATTATTTGCGTTCCCCAAGTAACCGGAATTTTCAGTAACCATCTGTCAACCGATTCGGTTAGTTGGTTCAATGTTTGGTTATATTCGGATCATAGCCTTAATAACGATTGACTGCCAAATCAATGACATTTGCTTCATTGGTTATCTGTCAACTATGTTCGACCGGTTAATCGCATTCAATCGATGTAAGTCAGTTTAAATCTAGTTGGCAAGAAGTCTAGACGTTTCGTTTTGTGATTTAATGACCCATCGCGATGGATGAGTCTTGTTTTATTTGCAGTCAATTGCTTCCGAAAGGTGTTATCGTGACTGTAAAACACGGTAAAGATGCTTTGAGAGACGCAAGTGCGGAAAGAGAAGATGAACATGCAGCATGCAGAACGTTTAAGGGATACAGGTTTGGTAAGAGTACATAAAAACTGTCGCAAGGCGTATACATAGTAGCATCTAAAAGTCTTTTCATTTTTCTCGACAGAAGTGTGGTGACTCACTTACCCTGCACTTGAATCGCATATTAGGCTGACAATACTTTGCGTGGGTTCCCTCACTATCGGGATCGCTTTAGGCGGCCAGTAGACGAGCCTCGTAGTATTGGTGGTGCGTGCTGCTTACGAGCACGAAGAAAGAAAAGAGAGATCCAACGAATAAATCCTCCGGGCGCGATATAAGGTTTTCGGAAAACCCAGTTCGTCGTAAGGGAAACCTGCATCAATCCTCGAATTGGAGGTTGGTGTCCTAGGGGAGTAGCATATTGTCATCTAAAAGACGACGAGATGACGATGCTGCCGGTACATCTCACTATTTTCTTCGCAAAACACGCTCTAGCTTAGGATCTTTTGGTTTAAAAACTTTGTGTTTTTTTTTTGTGGTGAAGAAGCCAACGAGGAAACAGAGACAAAAAAAACTAAGAAATGTCAATGTATAATATACAAGTTTGACAATGAGCGGAGAACCACGCAACTTCCTCTAACAACACCAATCTTTTAATTAAAAAGATCTGTAGGGTCATGGTGGCTTAGTTGGTTAGAGCGTAGCACCAACAATGCTGAGGACGCGGGTTCGAATCCCGCCCAGGACCAAAATTTTCAATCCTCCAATTTTCCTTGGCTTTCTTTTCATTTTCAATTTCCACGCTTTTTGGTTGTCGTAACCGACAAAACTTCATTCCTTTTCGACCATGATTTGTTTCCGCGATACTCAAAGCCATATTTGAAATGAAGCTTGGCATGAAAATAAGAAGTCTCAATCGGCAAAAGAACGCATTCGAATTGTACAAACTGTGGCCAAAATTATTAGAGAAGACATTCGTTTCATGACTGTTGATTGTCAATCTTATCGTCCTCCCACTAGAATGTTTCATAATCTTAACGAAAACATCCCACAGACCTTTTCATACTTTATTGAAGAATTATTTCTGAAAAACAGAAAAGGCAAAACTGACCATCTGTACTGTATGAACTTGTTGCTGTCTACCATCCACAATCAGATATTCTATCATTTGAAACTGGTGCTCTTATTCAGTATTCAGCAGATAATGCAGATATCAATGTCTACACAATAGACGGCCACAACACGCTTCACATTATGGCGCTTATTAAAATAGTAACACCAAGCAGCGCCGTTGCTTCTGAAGAATCCATGAAGAAATATACCACGATGTAACGGTCAACCGATCGATCGGTACCAAATTAAACGGCCTCTCGATGAAACGGGGGACGGATGATGACGTAATCTTCACGGTCAGTTGGTGATGCGCAAAACGGTCCCTGCTCGGGCGCCAAATTTGTAACGGGTTTTCCTAGGTTTTTCCTTGAGCTGTGGCAGCTTAACAGTCGGTATTTATCTTTTGGTTAATCCAGCGGTAATCTCGAGAGCCACCCTCAAGATTATAGTGGTTGAGGGCCCACCAGCACCAGGTAGCCTGTTACAGTAAAGAAAGAAAAACCAGAGGCAGATAAAGGAATAAAACAACTATGGGTAGATAATCGAAGAATAATTCATCTATTACTCATTGTGTAATACCAGAGGAAAAGAAAATGAAAACTCAAATATGTTTGATAAAACCTTAACCAAAATGTCCCTAATTTATAACAGCTCCTCATAGAGCAATAGTGTACGGGTGAAGAGAGAGTGCGAGAGAGAGACTGGTCATGTATGCGGTCGTCAAGGTATTACGGTACGGATATTAGCGTAAAAGCGGAAAGCGGTAAGTAAATATGTATGGCCGGCGGTTGTACGTCCCCGAAAGTTTCTAGCGACAAATTCGGAATCACGTGTCTCAGCGGGGTAGAAAGTATAACTGATCTATGTCCGTACGTTCAACCAGGACATAAGGACCCAACTCTTTTCGATACGAGGCGTGGTATTTCGGAGCCAGAACTGAACGGTACAAATGTTAACACCAAATACATTATGGGCCGATGCTGTTTAATGTTAACATTTGTACGTCGTGGAAGAGGAGACAGATTACGAGAATGAAGATCGCACATCCTACATCTAAAAGTCACAACAAGAAAGTTCATCGATTAGGCCTTCAGTAAAAATACAATGTAAAAAAACGCGCCACTCCAGAGGTAAGATGCAAACCTCTGGAGTGGTGTGGAAACGGGTGCTACCCTCTGTTTTCCTGGCATATCAGGTGGAAACCGGTTGGTACGACGTAAAATAGGTGAATAAAATTTTTTGAAGAGAATTTCTCAATATTTTTGGCCAAAATAGTCGTAGGAAATACCGAAAGCAAAATATTTAAGAAACTTATTTTTGTGATATTTGACCTTGAATATCTTGGAACGCAAACAAGATATCGGTGGGGACTTTCAATGCATTAATTTTTGAAGTAAAATAAAGGTGTAGACAAAATTTAGGCTCACTCGGATTTTTTCAGTAGATGAATCCTTGTATGACTGTGACTGTACTAACACTCCTGTGCATCGAATCACGCAATGTAGGCAGATATCAGTGCCGAAAACAGCGACGATTCGCAGTGTTCGTCAAATTATTGGAAATATTTGGACAGTATGATTTTGAAAAGTCGAATGGAAATCGCTCAAGAGAAACGTCTACTAAACGAAGTTAGTTACCATGTGAACAATTTCAAGTTGATTGTGGGCCTAAGCGTCGCTCGAGAAATGCTGCCAGCAGTCAAAATAGTAAACTCCATGCTTAACTTGCCCGAAGATCAAACTTGCATAGCTCTAGCCGATTTCGACTGGTAGGTATGAATTCCTGGAAAAGGTCTCCAAGATGGTGAATGAAACTGCTGCTGGCGTCAAAGACTCTGCTGTGCCTGGTCAAGAACAGGCGCTATCCGAGAATTTCACTCTGTCTAATCTAACAATTTTAAGCATTTATGCGGGTGACGTAACGAAAAATCTAACTTTTTTGTAATTTCTG